CAACAGTATCATAAAAACGTAGAAGGTAGAGGTAACAGCAGTAGACCTCGTGTCTTTTAGCCCCTGCTTTAAAATAAAAGAAAGGAATAAGGAGATTTATACTACCTTTGAGCTAATAGCTAATTTAAACATTCGTTAGATATAACATAATCACTAGCTAGCACAGTTTAAGCCTTTTATTTACAATAAAGTTCTTATTTTTATAAAGACTTTCACATTGATAGTATTTGAATGATTTGTGTAATATTATATTGAATGAAAAGTTACTTCTGTTTTATTTAATATATTTAACACTTTTTTTTTCAGAATGGCTATAATCTGGTGGCTAAGATTATGCATAAGGTAAGGAGAGTCTTTGACTTTATACGTATTTCTCTTATTATTGAAAAAATACAGATATATTTTTTTTTGTTTTGCTCATCATAGGAAACATAAAATACAATGCATCTGAATTTCATTAACTAATTCTACTTAATTTATATACATATATAGCATGTTGATCTTTAAATGAATTATAGCACTGCGAGTCTAATTTTGTACTCATGTTAATATACAGTTTTTATAGATGTATGCAGATCCTAACATCTTCAAAACTTATTAATGCTTCATGTTAAGGTCGTATATACACTTGTTTTGTTAAAATGGGTTTGTAAAAAAGCACAAACAAGATTCATGATTTCACTGAAACTGTTAGAGACATATTACAAGTTTTTAACATAAAAATAACATAATGATTAGTTATTCCAATTCTTTTTTTGTAGGCTTAACTGTGTAATAGGTTTTGATCTTTAGTAACTTCAAAGAAAGTAAAGGAGGGGAGGGAAAAAAAGGAAGGGCCTTCAGAAAGAAACGGGGATTTATTTCTCATATGCTAAATACGAGTAAACTGTGACTAACGAACGACAGTATTCTTCCCTGCTAAAATATGTTTTCCTTATGTGCGATAACGTGAGGTTCCATATTGTTTGCGGTGTAACGAATGAAATTGAGAACTTTGGGTGAACGTCTATCCATTCATACTCTTCATCTTGTAAAACCCTGTTGACTTCTGTCTTTTTTTGGATATCACGAACGGTTTGTTGGTTGGTTGGTCGAATTTCACGCAAATCTATTCGAGAGCTATCTGGGCTTAATTTAGAAGTGATAGAGTCGATGGAAAGTAGCTAGTAAACACCACTCACGACCAAATCTTAGACTACTCTTTTACCAACAAAAAGTGGGTTTGATCACATTATGACGTCTTTATGGTTGAAAGGGCGATCATGTTCGATGACGGGATTAGAACCACTTACGTGTAGAACATTTAAGAAAACCTATGTTCTTAAAGCAGCTCTACCCAAATGAATTCATAGTAACATATTCATTTTTTATAGAACCGATTAGGCGAAGCTCACGGGACGAGGGAGAAAATGCACCATACTATGAGGAGAAGCGACGTCTGGTTGCCCACATCCTCGACACAATTTGTATACATTTATTGATTCTAATCCGATATGGTTGGGCTACAATAAATAAAATCCCTTTTCTTTCTGAACATCCCTGATAATTTGAAATAAATATTTCAAATACAACTTTACAAATTTAGTTTCAGGTCAGTTGAAACCTACACTTAACGAGTAAAAAGTATTTATCGGTAGCTTATTGTATCTGTACCATTTTATTTCATTATATATTAAAAAATTAACAGTTTCGTCAAACAACTAGAACGACATTTAGGGAGTACAATCCCACTCCACAAAGTTTTTTGTTGTTGTTTTTTTTTTTGCAGTAAACAACCTGAAATATATACTATAAAGATCCTCGCCCTCAAAAATGTAAGGTTCAGAGACCAAGATTCTCTTTACATCTCATTTTGTTCTCGAGTTTGACCATGTTACAAAATCCCAATTTGCTACCATTATAATGAAAGTAGTTGACCTTGATTTTTGACCCACACTCACCAAAAGTTAGTTAATGGGTCCTTGGGAGACACTCAACTTTTGTATCAAATTTGATCTAACCCAAATAACAACTTTTCGAGTGTAGTATTTCACACACAGAGGAGTGAAAACAATACCTCCGCCTTCGGGCAGGGATAATAATGAAAATGCATTGATTTTTTTATTATTTTAACTTAAAACGATAATGTGACTCATTGTGACGCACAAAACACGCTTAATCACATTTTCCCAAAATGAAAATTCAAGCTTTCAGTTTCTGGTAATTAACGTCATAATACAAGCAAATTAAACATAATTATATTTATTACGTACTTTAGGCTCGGTGAAAGCAGTTGGTTATGTGCACCTGAATGAAGGGATGTCGGGTAACTTCAACTGTATTTAATAAATTTTTCTCATTACTCTTATTTCATGACATTTTCGCCCCAGGTAAAAATGGCTAACTAAATGATGTTTCACATCAAAATTGTTAATGGATTATGTGATTTCCGCTTCTAGTTACCATCAGAAATTGACGCCATGACTCTACTGAAGATTTTAAAGGCCTGTTGGAGACGTGAGTATTTATTTTAATCTGAAGATAATAATGAAAATATTTTACCTTTGTTTAGGTAATATTTGCCCTTCTTTAAAAGCTACTCGTTTCTGATTGAGACACTGGAAATTAAGACAAAGAAAATAAATGTTACAATGTACTTAAAAAAGAAAGACAATGAATAAGGTACTCCCCAGTAATTATTACTCTTTTGGTAATTATTGAGTTCATTACGTTCAAACTTTCCCCACATTTCAGCTTTACAGATCCTAGCAGAGAAGCCTACAGTGGAATTATGTCGTCATTTGGTCATGCTCAGAGATGTATCTTTTTTTGATGATTTTATCACGTTTGTGAACAAATATATTTTCACGATTCAATGTTTATAACATGTTTTATAATATACTTAAAAGCAATTAGTCCTTTTAACCTTATCTTTGACATCAATTATAATATACAGAAAATATTTTGGAGTGATTGCTTACAGGAATTAAAATAGGATATTTGAACCGAAAAAGCGATCTTAAACCTAACTCAAATTAGTCCAGTTTAATGCTGAAAAAAAAAACTATGACCTAAGAGTAATGGCGTTCTAATAAAGATTTTCTAAATGTTGTTTTATTATTATTATTTGTTACTGCTCTTCGAAAAATTAAAATAATTGAATACTCCAAACATTTCTGATAGATGGCAGCACCATCCAGTAGTTTACAAAACATAATTAACCGACAAATATATAGTGGAATAAATGTAGGCAACTATCGGTAGTACTTAAATATTATTCTTCAAGTAAATTGGTTGTTAAAATGTTTGCTATGAGATATACACTAAGAGGATACTATGGTGAAAGAAGTCATGATAATTAATGGAGATATATATTTACACCTTTCTACCGTTATATAAATGAAAGAGCATTACAGGATATTTTTAGTTTTCAGCTGGTGATGATGCTTTTCAAACATTGGCTCGATAAGAATTGTAAGAGCAAATCACTACAAAGCTGATAAATAAATATTAAGATAGACAGACAGGTCTTCCTTAACAGCCACCAGCCTATGATAAGTGGGAAAATCATGTGTAAAGACGTAACAGGTCTTCTGTACACACTTCAATTTTGGAGGGTAAGTTCACTTCTTACTTCGGGCTTTCAGGCTCGTCTTTGACTTAGTGACTTTGTTAAATTTTGTGTAAATATGAAGCTTTTCCTAAATGAATAAAACCATATAAGCCGGATTCTAAAATATATGTTTAGTTAGAAATACATATGTATGTATGGATTTGAAAAACGGAAGTTTTTTTTTCTTTCAAAGTTTACAATTATATATCACTCTTAGCTCTTACGTATAAGTGTTTAGTTAAGTTTTGTTTTGTATGAATTTCAATGTCTCCTAAAAACGGTTACGGAGGCAAATATTAACCACTTTATTTTGTTAACATTCATAAGTTTCCAAGCGTTTCGAACCATTTTATTGGATTTATTTCGTGTGCTATAAAGCACAAAGCTACACAATGTGCTAACTGTGCTGTGCCCCACCACGGGAATTGATACATGAATTTTAACGTTATAACCCATTAAGCTTACCAGAAGAGTCACCGGAGGGGAGGGGGCATTAACTTTAGTATTGTCAAACTATTTCGTTGTTGTTGTTTTTTTCATCAGCTATTTTCTGTATGTTCGTTATTCAGAGCAACCAATTTTGGTATAAAACGGGTTCAAACAAGAACCAACACAAAATATAATGTCAGATGAAAATGTTAAAATCTACCAAATTTTGTACCTGCCACAGACTGTCTTTCTAAAACATGAACAACCGAATCGTGGACGAACGAACTGTTTCAACCTCAGATCACTGTTATGGGAGGCAGGTAAGGATTTCATAACGTTATTATTTCTATCTACGTAACACTTAAAAATACGCTTAAATTATGAACTCTCCAGAAGAGTAATAGACAGCTTTCAATAATGAATACGCTTGAATGATTATCAACAATGCTTCGGCTCGTAGGAGGAGGTTATCATCAGGTTATGTTTGATAATCAATTGTAATAGAGGATAACCCGATGATGACCTGCTCCAACGAGTCGAAACGTCGTTAATTAAATATTAAAACATGTTATTTCTCTGTAAGATCCTCATTTTCGTCAAAAAGACTGTTTATCTTGATATTGCTTTAAACTTGTGGTATTTTTTTATTTTGTTTCAGGTAAAATAATTAATGTACCAATGGATAAGCTTTTGGGTTCAGAAGTTCGTTGATGTCTAAACACGACATTGATGAAACTTGTTATCCCATTATTACACATAAAAACGGACTTACCTCTATTTTTCAGAAGTAGACTCACTCATTATCTTGGCTCAAATGTTCTGTGAAATATAACGTGCCTGGCCAGGGAGGATGTTTAATGAAACCGAGATTATCGTGAAAGATAGACAAATTTTATACAGTTAAAAAATAGTAATAAACGATTATTAGTTTTTCAGTACACTTGCAAATGGAACAATGTAGTATTTTATTAGTTTTTTCAGTACACTTGCAAATGGAACAATGTAGTATTTTATTAGTTTTTTCAGTACACTTGCAAATGGAACAATGTAGTATTTTATTAGTTTTTCAGTACACTTGCAAATGGAACAATGTAGTAATTTCAAACTGATGTGCTGCAAAAAACTGAAAATTAGTTAGTCATGTGACTTTCTAGATGTTTCGTGGTAATACCCCCAACCCCACAAGAATCATTAATAAAGATAAAGACCCGAATTGTGAAATTTGTTGTCTCTTCCTTGTTACTTGAATTTATTTCCGAAATGCTGTTTTCAGGAAATTTGCCATAACTTTGCTGTTGCATTAATATCATGTTTTTTTGTGATTACGTACATTTTAAAACTCGTTTTACATTATTGCACCAGTAAATCGAAAATGACGCAAGACATTGACTTATCAGTTTCGTATTAAAATAAATTGCCCAGATGTGTTTGTTGGTTTTATTTCGCGAAAAGCTACTCGAAAGCTATCTGCGATAGCCTTTCTTAATTTTGAAGTGATAGAGAGAAGGCAGCTAGTCAACATCACACACCGTCAGCTCTTGGGCCACTCTTTACCAACGAATAGTGGATTGACCAAAACATTATAACACCCCCACGTCTGAAAGGGCGGGCATGTTTGGCTACTACTTTCAATCCTGCGAACTACAAATCGTGAGTAGAGTACCCAAACCTCCAGTCCATGCCAACCCACCCCCTGACCTCCCCCACAGATGTTCCCTCTTTTTTTTATGAACGTTTAATTTCCTTTCTACATTACAACTACAAAAATGTGTTCATTTTAAAACACTTATACGCTATGGTTGTTTGGCAAGTATTTCATATTTGATAATTGCATCTACTTTTATTTTTATTTGTCGGAATTACACGTATTATCATTCCTCTTTGGCGAATCTTCAATTATGTGTACAGTGAAAAAAACAAAAACATTCTAGATAAATATATACTTAAATGTGTTTAAGTTTAGCAACTACGATGGTGTACAGGGGGATTATGAAAACAGAACGGGTACTTGAAACAGTGTGCATTTCGGAAAGCGCAATTTATATACGAAATATTTTGCATAAATATAGAGAGTTCATGGGTGGTGCATTCCACCGGTTTCTAGGTGAGACGCTAGGGACACCACTATAACTACTATTCGAGGCTGCCATCATCATTTCCGACTACAGTGATCTTTTATGCATGTATGCGAAACATTTCACCCGTGTTTTACACGGTTCATCCAAAAGGCTGTCTCAAGTAACCAGTTCCCCGGATGGCTCAGCGACGAGTCTGAAGGCTTATAACGTTAAAAACCGGGCTTTCATACCCGTGGTTGGCTTACCAAAGATAGACCGTTGTGTAGCTTTGTACTTAATAACAAACAAACCAAACTCACTTTTAGGTTAGATTTGTCTCATCGCAGAGTTACTCAATGGACTATCCGAGCTCTGTCCACCGAGGGGAATCGAACCCAGACTTTATCGTTGTAAGTGCGTAAACTTACAGTTGACCCATGGGAGGGTGACCCAAACTCACTTTACAACCATATTATACTTTGAAATAAACTCTTCTTATTCTCTTTCAGGCGATTCGATTTGCTGATTTTATCCACAAGTTAAACCAAATATTCAGTCATGTAGGTAGGACAACAGATAGCTATACCATGCTAATTGTACGATGTATTCAGTCCTGTAGGACAACAGATAGCTATACCATACTAACAGTACGATGTATTCAGTCCTGTAGGACAACAGATAGCTATACCATGCTAACTGTACGATGTATTCAGTCCTGTAGGTAGGTCAACAGATAGCTATACCATGCTAACTGTACGATGTATTCAGTCCTGTAGGTCAACAGATACTCATACCATGCTAACTGTACGATGTATTTTCACATTCATTTGGTCGATGAACTTATTTTTAGATTTGTAGATCAGTGTGTAACAGTACATATTTCTGATGTATTTAGAAGTTGAATAGTCGAGTACTTAAAATGTTCTAGCTTGAAAGTTAGAATAAATAGTATTTTTCTTTGCAAATTTGTCATCCGAGTTTCATTACCAGACAAGTAATGTTTTTCAGTATGTTTAAAAAAATAATAATATCACACTTACATCTCTCAGACGAGAAACTAAATATATTAGCAACGTTTGACCATAGGCTTAAATCAGGCAGCTCAATTATTTCTTTACACATTGTTCACTAGAGGATTCTATGTTTAATAACTTGTTAGTGGCTTGGCATGGCCAGGAGGTTATGGCGTTTGACTCGCAATCTGAGGGTCGCGGGTTCGAATCCCCGTCCCACCAAACATGCTCGCCCTTTCAGCCTTGGGGGCGTTATAATGTGAGGGTCAATCCCACTATTAGTTGGTAAAAGAGTAGTCCATGAGTTGGCGGTGGGTGATGATGACTAGCTGCCTTCCCTCTAGCCTTTCACTGGTAAATTAGGAATGGCTAGCGCAGATAGACCTCGTGAAGCTTTGCAAGTAATTCAAAAACAAACAAACATGTTAAGCTATGTTATAAGAAGAACGGCAAGGGTTATATAACATAATAAAACACACGTGTTCCTTAACTAGTCAAAGTTTTATTGCTTCAGCAAGCTGAAACTTATAAAATACAAACTAAGATAAACAGCTAAAAGGAAACTCATTAAACTAATACAATTTCAAAATATCATAGGAATTTCACATGAATCAGCTAATAAGTGATTGTAGTTAACTGCGCGACCTGAAGCAACTGTGTGACGTCATATAGAGCATATGCGTAGGCATTTCTACTCACGCATATAAGATCTAAAATAGTTGTTGTTGTTTCATAGTATATTTTTATAGATTAATGTTAATCAGCTTGCTGGTTTAATTTTTGTTTTTTGGAACTTTTGTGCAGAGCTACACAGGAGCTATCCGTGCACAACCGTCCCTAAATTTGAAGTGATAGACTAGGGGGAAGACAGTTAGTCAACAGCACCCAATACTAGCTTTTTGAATAATTTTTTTCTGACTAAAAAAAAAAAGTGGAATTTAACTGTGAAACGTATCGCGCGTTCACGGGCCCAAAGCGTGGATCGCGTATTTGTGAGACGCAAATCAGAAATCTTCGAATTCATAGTTTGGGCACACTATACCACTAGGCCACTATTGATAACGGCTGTTTTCAACCAGAATTTAATAATGACAGTGCATGTTCTTCTAAAATTTTCACAGCGTGTGTATGTTTGTGTGTGTGTCTGTGTACTTTCATGTTTATAGGAGAACATGTCTCAGAGACTGGAGTATATGTTCTTACATTTCAGAGGTACTGTACATTCGGCATTTTTTTCCGACATTTGTACAGATTAATTTAGTCACACAGCTTGTAATTTATTTGTTACAGGAGTCACCGTAAGCAACAAAGTTCTCGAGAGTCTGATAGTCAGATTCGCCAAGAAAAATGTTTTATCGTCTGAAGCCTTCCTCTTAGCACTAGTCAAGCTCTATCTTGCTCACGGTGAGTTGATTTACTTGTTGAATTCAATTAGCATTTTTATGAATGACGATCGGGAATTTTAGTTTTATTGAAACGTGATATAACAAACATAGCTTGTTTGTTTGTAATTAAGCACGAAGCTACACAATGGGCTTTCTGTGCTCTGCCCACCACGGGTATCGAAACCCGGATTATAGCGTTGTAAGTCCCCAGACATACCGCTGTGCCACTGGGGAGCACAAACACAGCTGATAGATATTGAAAAAAATGTTTAAAATCAGTGGATTAGAAGGTGGAACTCACATATTATCTCCTCTACACTCCCCTCACGCTTACTTCAGGCACAACTCGAAAAAAAATATTGTTTTTATTCTGCTATTTTCTTTATTGATATACATACATATATATATTTATGAAGAGCATAATATGTTAGTTATATGCCAGTTTTAGCATTGAAAGGATAAAAAATGTAATTCACAAGAATCTTAGACAAATAAACCGGAAGTAAAAAGCTCTACATTAACCTCAGACGAGTAACACTCGGGTACAAAGTACAATATGGAGATGGTTTAATTCTCACAGCCGTATGTCTGCAGACTTAGAATGCTAGAAACCGGGTTTCCATACCTGTGGTGAGCAGAGCACACATAGCCCATTGTGTAGTTTTGCGCTTGACTCGAAATCTGGGGGTTGTGGGGTTCGAATCCCCGTTCCACTAAACACGCTCGCTCTTTCATCCGTGGTGTGTTATAAAGTTCCGGTCAGTCCCACTATTCGTTGGTAAAAGAGTAGCCCAAAAGTTGGCGGTGGCTGGTGATGACTAGCTGCCTTCCCTCTAGTCTTTCACTGCTAAATTAGGGACAGCTAGCGAAGATATCCATCGTGTAGCTTTGCGCGAAATGTAAAACAAACCAAACCAAACTGGGAGGAAACCAGAACTAAAAATATGTAATTTATAAGCAGATTTTATAAGTTTTTATAATTTATAAGTTCACGTTATTTTTCATCTAAAATTGCTATTTATCGTGATAGCCTGCATTCAGTTGTAGTATATATATATATAAGGAAGTTGTTCATAGTGAAACACGAAAGTAAGAACATTAGGGATAGAATTACAATTTTCTTTTTTCTAATAACAATATTTACTAACCTAGAAGCTTATTTTTAGAAGAGTGTGTATGGGTAAAAGTGTAAGTGATAAATGTTACATCTTTATTGGCCTCTATTTGTGTACAACATCCGTTGTTTGTTTGTTTTTAGAAAGGTACAAGACAATAGAAAAGAAGATGAGAGAAAATACTCTATCGTTGGAAGAGGTAAAGTTTTAATTCTTATTTTACTTTGAGCGATTATTATTTTTTTCAGTTTTTAACCTTTGTAATTTGTGTAGTTACAAAATATGAACATTTGAAATACGTATATGAAAATACAGGTACATAATTGAATAACAGTGAGCATAAAAGCTATTCAAATCGTATTTAATTTTTGTTTACTAATTTCTGACGAGTTTAAGACAATTTTTTGCTGAAAAATTCTATCGAATCGACTAAACTGCAGAGTTTGTTCCAGGGTAAGTGCTAAGATGCTCGAGAATTTTGCTACACCGAAACAGCAACCTGGTGGTGTAAATATAAAATACAAAATACTTGTCATGTGCAAATACAGAAATTCATTATTTTCTCACAAATGTCAATTTTTTTTCGTATTTATGAAATCAAATGTCTTAAAGATGACAAGAATAGCTTCGTATTTAACTTAATAATAATAATAATAATAGTCTTCATTGTTTATAAAGCATTGATTTCTATGCACACAAAAATTGCACGCTTGTAAATTCATACACCAAAGCTATGTACTGTAATTTGTTATTATTTCGAAATACTATGATCCAAGTAACTTTTATGAAATGAAAAATGTATAGCATTTTAATTTGCTTCCTTTAGTTAAAAACTGTTATTTTTATTTGAGTTACGTACGATAACGTTATGGTTTAATTAAGATATTTTGATTTAATGTGGATGACTCGAACTTTGTAGTATAATTCAGACACTGGTAGGTTTCTATTGTTGTATTTCTGATAATTTCTTCTTTCATTTTTCAGATGATCCTGATGACGATCTACTCGTGAGTAATGACATCTACTTTCAAGTAAATAAATGTCCAACTGTATAAGTAATCATTTGTGCAGCAATTTATAGAGTAGTTTCTTTTACAGGCTTTTAGAAACTTTTCCAGAATTATCATTATACTTTAGAGTAAAATATACGTAAGAAAGAACTTCACCGTTCTGTAATCATTTGTGCAGCAATTTATAGAGTAGTTTCTTTTACAGGCTTTTAGAAACTTTTCCAGAATTATCATTATACTTTAGAGTAAAATATACGTAAGAAAGAACTTCACCGTTCTAAAAAAAAATAACCATTTAATAGGTTCTAAATTGCTTGTAAAAACCATTCTGTGGTATCGGAAACGCCCTACATATCAGTTAGTAGTTTCGACAACGCTCTATAGATAGTTAGTTGTTTCGTCAACGCTCTATAGACCAAGTAGTTGTTTCGACAACGCTCTACAGACCAGTCACTAGTTTCGTCAGCGATCTATAGGCCAATTAATAGTTTCGACAATGCTCTATAGAATTAGTGATATTCACAACGCTCATGGAAATAGGTTAAGTGGCTTCGACAACGCTCTGTAGACTTGTTAGTGGTTTAATCCTTCCTAAAGACCAGTCAGTCAATGACTTCGACAACGCTTTAAAACTAGGTAACTGTTTCTAGACAGTCACTTCATTTTGTTGATTAAGAGTATTATTCCTATAATCTCCCATTTCTCCTAAGTTACATTTTTTTCTGGATCGTATCATTATTCATTGTTCATCCTTACATTACAACTCCATCTTCCCTTATTTTTCTGTAAGGACGAGGATAAGATGCATTTGTTCGTGGCACGAGACGATACACATCATTCGTTATAATAAGGTTAAACTATAAGAGAACCTAAAACAAAGAAACTCTTTGATAAACTTTTTAGGATAAACGTTTTTGCAGTGATAACTAGGATTTGTCAAGTACAAAAATAAAAGTTTGAACGTATGGAACTTCGAGTTTAGAACAAGTTCTCTTCAACATGATAATAAGTTTGACTACATTCTATAGCTTTGACGATACTAAAAAAAGTAGTTTTTCTGTTTCTCAGTCTTGTGCATTTGTATTCTTTAATAAGTGTTTCTCATTATTGTAAAAATGCTTAAGAAATCCAAATGGGGAAAAAAGTTAATTACTTTCTAAGTCCTTGTATAACTTGAATAAGTATATTGCTTTAATTGAGTTTATAGCTTAATTCCCCCAAACCCGAAATAATTGTAATTATGTTTGTATAACTTAATCAAATCTAATCTTATTAACGTAGCTTCAGATATGACTGGAATGTTAATATTTTGATTTATAAGATATTATACCGTAACGTAATATAGATAGAGTCTAAAGGACAGCAAAAATCATGGTCTATAGTCCTTTCTTCAAGTACTACTGTTGTTGTTGTTTTTTTGCGATACAATTATATCAGGAACGCCATACAAAAGTCAGAAATATTGCCACATTTTATTCAATAAACTTGGCTATGTACAACATATGGCAGAGTTATTCACAATCGGATCCCATAAGTCATGTTTCAGTCTTTAACAGATACAACACGGAAATTATATTTATAATTTATTCAAACAAAAAAAACGACACTTAACTGACAACGTAATTTAGGTGGTCTTTTGTTTATTGTAAAATAAGGAAAAAATATTTTATATTTTTGCGACTTCTTTCCCTGGAGACTTGCCGCAACCCACAATTTGGGAAACACTAATTTTAGAGTTCTTTTTTTTTCATAAGTACACAAAACAAATGATCTTTATGCAAAATCCTTTCTCAATTTGTTTTCTAATTTTATTTAGATAACTAAGAAACAAGAATTTGACGATTTACAGTAGTCAACATTTGCTAGGGATCATGTTTTTACACAATAGGTACACTAATGTTAATAAAGGTCACTTATAAAAAAAAAAGACATAACTTGGAAGTCCATTATTTGGACATTGTCTGCCTGGGTGACTTTGATTGGATCCTGGCTTTGTTTTCTGACTATACTCCCAAATTGAAAGTTCATACAGTGAAATTGTGAGGTCCTTAATTTGATATCACTGATCATTCCATGCCAAAATTGATCTGATTGAGATTATGCAGTGCAGAAAATGCCTCTTTTAGGTCAAAGGCATCATCTTCCCATGCAGAACTTAACAGGGCTGTTGGAATGCTGCAGGGAGGCATGACTCAATGCAGGATTGCTGCTGTTCTTGGCACATCCCAAATTGTAGTGTACAGGGCCTGGAACAGGTTCAGACGGTTTGGCAGAGTCAATAGGAGACATGGTGGAGGATGGAGAAGACTAACAACTCCACAACGAGACTGCTATTTGACTATCCAGGCTCGAAGGAATCGCATTGCTCCAGCTGTTAACCTCCGTAATTCCCCCCAAGATGACACAGGAGTCCGAATGTATGCACAGACAGTGCACAGACGCCTTCATGAAGCTCATTTGAGGGCTAGACGTGCTGCTGTTCATGTTTCTTTAAGCCGACAGCACAGGCAGGCACGATTGCAGTGGCTAGAGAACATAGGAGGTGGACTGCGTAACAATGGAGGGACGTACTCTTGACTGACGAGTTCTGCTACTGTGTGGACTTTCTTGACAGACGCAGGATAGTTTGGAAACGCCCTGGTGAGCGCAATTTGCCTCAGAATATCATCGAACATTATCACTTTGGAGGTGGCTCAGTCATGGTGTGGGGAGGCATCTCAATTGCAGGCCGTACCGACCTTGTAATTATCCGAAATGGAAGTCTCATGGGCCTAAGATAGAGAGATTAAATCCTTCCATCCATATGCAGGTGCAACACAGCCAGACTTCCTGCTTCCACACCATGGAAGGGAAGTGACTGCCTTCCTGGAAGCTGAAAGATTCCCAGGATTGAGTGGCCAGCTAGGTTTACTGACCTCGACCCAATAGAGCACATCTGGGAGCAGCTATAGACAAGGCTACAAGCTCGTCAAGCTCCATCAAGAACGCCCCAGGACCTGGAACTTGCTCTTATTGAAAAATGGCAACTGATTCCACAACAACGATTGGCTAATCTTTGTGCGGAAGTCATTAATGCTCGAGTTGGTCACACAGACTACTGAAATTATCTTGACTGTGGATTGGACACTAATTTCAATGATTGTTTATTTTGAAATTTTTCTTGTAAACACTGTACCACAGGATGCATCAGTTCCTCAGGCTCTGTTATTCAATTTAAATGTTACAGAATTTAATAAAGTGTCAAAATGACTTATCCAGATGTTTTTCTTCCTAAAATGTTCAATCTATACATATACCATTGTGGTAGGTGTTTGACATATACTCAAAATAAAACATGATCCATAGCAAATGTTGACTACTGTATTTTCAGAAGACAGTATTGAATTATGATTATTTTTAAATAATATACTTACAAAGCACAAACCATATTATTTTCGCTATACCGACCGTGTCTCTCATCATTTCTAACATTTTTATTATTATCGAACATCGTTTTAGCTTTATTTTCGGTTGACATTTGACGCCAGAAAATAAAAGTAAAACACTAGCCAATCGGGATAATTTGGTTATGTATCGAGACTCGAATTTTAGCGTATAAGCCCTCAGGATTACGTCTAATAATTATATAAAGAACGCACATAAAAACGAAACAAAAGCTTAAAGAAACAATTTATTTAATTATCTGTACACACACACACGCAAATGTATATATATATATATATATATATGTAAAACTTGTTGACTTTGTAGACATACAGGTTCACATATTTAAAAAATAATCCAAACGTCATGTTGGTTTTATAAAATTTTACATAACTTTATTCTGGCAAAATGTAAACAACTGATGGAAATATACTATTGTCATCCATAAAATCTTCAGACAGAAAATAATACTTCTTTTAACTGCACAAAAATTAATATACAAACTTATGTAAAAGTTTATTTAAATAACATTAAAATAATTTTCACCAACATATTTTCTGTCATAATAATCACATTAGAGCACCTGGTACATATATTTATATGTACATGTTTTATACCTTCTTCAAATTTCTTAAGACCGCCGCTGAATAATGAATCAACTTTATCACCGTATTAAACGTATCCGTTCAACGCACGGAGAAGACATAGGAACCCTGGGGGTGTTATAAGTTGGGGCGACAGTTCTTAACATCAAACATCCTATGTCCCTCTCCGGGGGACTCTTAAGGGTACATGTCAGGTTTGGTGACAATGGGCTCAGCGGTTTGCCGGTTATAAGAGGACATACATACATACACACAAATAATAGTTTAGTTAAAGCAATTAAAGTTTACGACATATTTATCGAGAAACACGTAACAGTCAATTCTAATACATTTGTACATTCGCTCACTGTTTGTAAAATTAAATAGTTTTTTTTTGTTTGTCAATTTAATATTGTAATGAATTTCTTATTAGAAAACAACCTCTCGTGTTCTTGTTTTCTTTATGAGCACCACATCTGAATAATGTAAAAAAAAAACTTTCACAGCATAACATTTCAAATATTTGTTACATCTTAACTTATTAGACAATAGACAAGTTTATGAGATCTTGATTTAAGTTTTAATAGTCTTAGCTAAGCCGATTTTCTACATAATACTTGCCCCCCCCTTTTTTTAGACTATTATGCAGTAGCTACGCATTCTTGTTAATATGTTGTAAACTACACTTTTGAACTATTTTGAAAATCTTGTATTTTCAACAAATATCCTTGCAATAACAGTATAGGTTAAAAATATATATTACAATTTGGTACAATTTTACTCTGTTGTAAAAATAGCCCTCAGTTTTACATTGGATTTTCTATGGAGTGCAACTGTCTGGTTGACACCGTTTTAGTTTCTGTGGTAAGCCCTTCATCAGCATGAATGTTTGTTTGTTTTGAATTTCGCGCAAAGCTACACGAGGGCTATCTGCGCTAGCCGTCACTAATTTAGCAATGAAAGACTAGAGGGAAGGAAGCTAGTCATAACCACCCACCGCCAACTCTTGGGCTACTTTTTTACCAACGAATAGTGGGATTGACCGTCACATTATAACGCCCACACGGCTTAAAGGGTGAGCATGTTTGGTGAGACGGGAAGTCGAACCCGGGACCCTCAGATTGTGAATCGAGCGCCCTAACCACCTAGCCATGCCGGGCCTCATCAGCATGAAGACCGAAACGTCATCTACCTCAAGAACTCAGACAGGCGTGCAGTCCTTAAAGGATTTAACGTCAATACCTCATCTGCCTAAATTATAGTTCAAAAACTATTTCGTTTCACAAATGATGCTACATCTTTCCAAACAACTACTTCAAACAAGCAAAAAGGGGGCTTACAACAAACTAGAACTTTTGCATTAAATACTATAATTTGGGTTAATTGGTATATTGAAGGTAAACAAGAAGAGTCTCAAAGTTATTATGACTCCATTTGTTTGTTATCCAGTTAAAATATAATGTGTGGAAATGTTTGTTTTGTAGTTAAGCACAAAGCTACACAATAGGCTATCAGACATATCACTGGGGGGGGGGGCGTGAAAATGATTTGTTTGTTTGTAATTACGCACAAAGTTACACAATGGGCTATCTGTGGTCTGTCCACCACGGGTATCGAAACCCGGATTTTACCGTTGTAATTCCGCAGACGTACCGCTGTACCACAGGGGAGCACGAGTGAAAATGAAATCTTGGTCGAAAGCTAAACAGGTTGCAGATATTAATATACTATCAGTTTGTTGTTTTTAGCGCAACGCTACACAATGGGTTATCTATCTACTCCTTTTGTCCGTCGTGGATTTTAGCAGTGTGAATTCGGAAACTTAACGCTGGCCATCCAGCAAACGATAAATTGTAAGTAAAAAAACAAACAAATAAAAATGGTCAGACATTAGTTAGCATATGCATAATATACCATAAAATATTTTCCCCCAAATAGAGATATACATCAAAAATATAAAACAACATACCGTTAAAATACGTACACAAATTAGATATACATAATTCACCCGCCTGCAGGATTTTGTAGATTTTTATCGCAGACATTACAAATCTAAAAAAACATATAGACACACACACACACACACACACATATATGTATACACAGGAATTGATAATGTATAGCTTTTTTTGTTGTTGTTGTTGTTGTGGGCCTCATAACACACATCTCGATTTTGGCTTTTATACTAACTTTCACCATTGTTATACAGTGCTAATTTCATTGCCTATACGCTTTTGGTGTAATTTATGGTATTAGTACTACTTATTTACTTATATATATGTATATCACAATGTTTGTAGTTAGGATGAGTTTCAATAAAAGTCAAACCTATGCTTAAAACTGACGTAAAACCTAGCAGACAACATTTCTGTGTAATGGCCTGCTACTTGGTTTCTCTGTAATGGAAGTAAATGTGTCTTCTTGTATGTTTTATGCAGTTAGCGTCTGATGCAGTTTCTTCCAGAAAACTTCCTGGTGATGTAATTCATTGGACCAAGCCAGATAAATCTTTGACTTTAGGAGATAGTACAGCTCTGGCGTCAATGTGTTCAGATCCAATTCTCGTAGTTTGATGAGTACCAGTCCATCCCTCTGTCCATCCACTAATACGTGTTGCGCCAGTTGAGTTTCAAACTTACACCAGCGACTTTGTATGAAGCCGGGTGAAAGGACGAGAATCACTTTTCTGCTATTTTTAACACTATCTAATATACAATCACTGATATTTCGACCAGCTATAAAGTCGCGGTCGTAAACACAGAGTCTTAAGTTACGCACCCCATTTTCCAATTCGGGGACTAAACTATTAAATACCCAATCTGAATCAGACGCGCTGTATGACACAAATGCATCAAACTGGAATTTTATATTTTTGTCATATTGGCCATAATGGCGCTTTTTAAGTACCTTTTTGCGATATATGTAAGCTCCGAAAACAGTGACTAAAACAATAAATAAAATTACGACGACTGTGATCAAAAGAATTGCCTTTTGTCTTTTTGTTGTTAAATCATTTTGACATTGTTTTTCTAACTCTAATGATACATTTTTTAAAGGGAAATTTTGTAAATGAGAGGGTTCCGTGCATGCGTAATGGACTCGAGAATGAGTCGTTTTAAAATGCATAACAGAAATATTCGTGTGTTTTAACCAAAACAAAAATAACCTTAATTCACATGAACATAAAAAAGGGTTTGTTCCGAGGCTTAATTCATTGAAAGTCTTAAAGTCCTCTACCATTCCCTTCGATACTTGACGTATGGCGTTATTCGATAAATCTACCTTACTTAGCTTGGAGTTAGTTGAAAATATGTTATTGTCCCATGTTTCAATATAATTATCTGATAACTTAAGAGTCTTTAGTTTTCTTAAGTTTTGGAACAAATCTGGAGAAAGATTTTGTAATAAATTACCACTTAAATCCAAGAATTCCAGGTTCTTTAGGTCGTATAATAGTTTTCCAAGTTCCGATTCGGACAAAAACGTGTTTCTAATGTCGAGATGTACCAAATCGGCTAAACCAGAAAATGCCTTTACAGCTGTAGGGTTAAACTGAAACAAAGGATTCTCGCTAAGGTCTAAAAAAGTAAGAGAACGTAAGTTTAAAAAGGCGTTATTGATATAATTTATGTCACATTGTCTTAAGCTAAGTTTTTCTAATTTGTGCAATCCGAAAAACGTTTCATTTCTTAAGCTTTACCAAACGTCTGTTATTCAAAGTTAGTTCTCTTAAAGCACTCATGTTAGCGAAAGCCCAGTCAGGAATATAAAAACGGAAAGTATCGTCAGGAAACCCAGTCAAGTCTATTACTTCAAACTGTGGCTTAATCAAAGCTTGTGGAAAGTGTTTCAAAAAAGACCTTTGCATATAAATATTCTTTAAGTTAATCAAAGGGGCAAAAGCACCATTTTCAACCTCTTTCAGTTGAGAAGAAGGCATATGTAAAGATGTAAGGTTAGGCATTACTGGAAAGCTTCCATTTTTTAGAGTACTTGTTTCAAAGTTACTAAGATATATTTCATGAACAGACGAGTTGACTAAAACCGAGAGCACATCCTTAGGAAACTCTTCAAGTCCAGGTAGATTAATATTTATTCTAGCTAAATTTCTTGACTGAAATACTTCTAAAGTTTCTTTTAAATTTTCCATAGTTAGTTTATTGTCTGCAAGATGAATTCCGATAAGGTTATGAAGAGGTGCGAAAGCTCGTGGATCTATATAAGTTATATAACAGAAATGTAAGTGCAAATATTGAAGTTTACTTGTTTTAAGACCAATGAAATCATCAGATTCCACCCTTTGTAATGGATTACCACCAAAATCGATATGTATTAAAGACGGAAGAACAGAAGACGTCATGGCCGGCATGACAAATCTTAGTTCTGTGATACTGTTTCTTAAAAGAATAATTTCTTCTAGGTTTTCTAGCCCAATGAAAACATCACGATCTAGTCGATTAATGGAATTCGCTGCTAAATTCAGGAAGCGAAGTTTGTGTAAGCCACGAAAAGCATAAGGTCTCACATCTGTTACCCGATTTTGAAATATTTCCAAACTTTCTAAATCTGTAAGATTCTGGAAGGCATCGCTGAGGATAGACGTGATGGCGGTATCTTGGATAACGAGAGTGGTGATGTTCTTATTGCTGATGTCCTGGGATGGTATATAGAAGCACATTTGGTTGGAGACCTGAAGCGCATTTTTTACACCTGCTAACAAACAGGAGTTAGCACTCGTGTGATAAAATTCGGGATCACTAAAGTCCACAGAGGCTCGAAGAACGTCCTGAATGGTTTGTTGCCATATCTTCTCAGAAACAACAAAGTCTGTCAGCCATAACACACCAGTTACTAAGGCAACAGCTATCATAATGAACAACTCGCCTGCTGTGACCAAATCGTTGAAATCACCTGGATAAAACAAAAAAAGAAAAGGTTTTTGATACAACACATCAGTGTTTCTGTAGGATAAAAAAATCGAGTTATAAGAACGTAAAAATAGCTTGGGTAAAGCAAATGATGTTAAGTTTGTTTGTTTGGAATTTAGCATAGAGCTACAGAATGGGCTAACTGTGCTCCGCCCACCACGGGTATCGAAACCCGGTTTCTAGCGTTGTGAGTCCGCAGACATACCGCTGTGCTACTGGGGGGCAAAGTGAATTGAACCTACATCAACTCGAAATTAACTCGCTCATCGTGAACCCCCGATAAGATATCAAGGAAGTTCCAGACTA